AAATTAGATGCATTCTGAATAAGATAAAAGTTATGGGAGAACCTGGCCAGTTAATGATTTAAGAGAAAGGTTGCCTACCAGAGCACGTTGTTAGTCCTAGTGAATGCAGTAGCTTTTGGAAATGGATACCATCTAGGTATTGTATTCAGTATGTTTTTAAAATACATTTAAGGTATATGAGTGGTTTCCAGGGCTGGGTCAAGGGGGAAATGAGGTGTGACTGCTAGTGGGTATGGAATTTCTTTTTGTGGTGATGAAAAATGCTCTAGAATTAAATAGTAGTGTTGGTTGTACAACTTTGTGACTGTGAAAAACCACTGACTCATACACATATGTGAAGACATATATACATATATATATACATATATATATATATATTTTTTTTTAATATTTATTTATTTGACAGACAGAGATCACAAGTAGGCAGAGAGGCAGGTAGAGAGAGAGGAGGAAGCAGGCTCCCTGCTGAGCAGAGAGCCTGATGCGGGGCTCGATCCCAGAACCCTGGGATTATGACCTGAGCCGAAAGCAGAGGCTTTAACCCACTGAACCACCCAGGCGCCCCTGAAGACATATATTTAATGTTAATGTTGACATTATATGATTTTTTGTAATTTGATTGTTAATTCATCTTGCCAATTGAGGTTTTACCAATTACTCTTTCAAGAATATAGCCTCTTCTATAAAACAAGGTATTAGTTTAATCATATTAACTAATATTTACTGACCATTTACTATGCAAAATGCTTTTTGCACATTATTTCATTTAATCCTCATAACAGCCTTTTGAGATAGGTATTATTCTGCTGTTTTGAAGGAAATTGAAGCCTAGGTTAAATAACTTGCCAGGGTCACACAGTAATTAAGTGGTAGAGCCTGGATTTGAACTGATTATCTGACCGCAAAGCCCATTTTCCTAATCATTGAGTCAGCAGAGGGCCAATCAGTGTTTTGTGCAATTGAATTTATTAAATGGATCAAACCTGTGGGACACCTGGATGGCTCAGTCAATTAAATGTCTGCCTTCAGCTAAGGTCATGGTCCCAGGGTCCTTGGATTGAGCCCCACATCAGGATCCCTGCTCAGCAAGGAGTCTGCTTCTTCTTCTTCCTCTCCCTCTATCCCTCCTCCTTCTCCTGCTCTCTCTTTCTCCCTTTCTCTCTAAATAAATAAAATCTTTTAAAAATCTTTAAAAAATAATAAAGTAAAATAAATAAAATAAATTTTAATTTATTTTATTTATAATTTATAATAAACTAGAATTTTATTTTATTATTATTTAATTTTTATTTTATTTTTATATTATATATAATTATATATTTATTATATATTATTTTTGTATTTTATATATGATAATAAATATTAATATACTTATATTTTATGTGTAAAATATATAATCATAATTTATAAAATAATGATATTGGATTTTATTTTTATTTATATTTTATATTTATTATTTATATTATAAAAATATAAATTATAAATGAATAATATTTATGTATATATTTATAAATAAATATTTAATAATATACAAATAATAAATAACAATAAAATAAAAATAAAATATTTAAACAATAATAAATGGATCAAACTCCAGCGAAATTGCTGGAACAATTTCCTGCAACTCCAGAGGGAAAAATAGGAGAGTCTAAAAACTGGAAAACAAAGGTGATTCTGAAATTTCTCTATCTGGAAATCTTAGGAAATCACATCCACTGCCAGCTCCAGCTCCTTAGGGAAAGTCTAACCTGAAGGTAGAAGGAGAGAAATTAAAGTCCAGGATAGGAATTACCCTTAGAAAGTACCTGGCTGGCAGCAATCACTTTATAAGAAAACACATCCATCTCCTTTCACTCACCTTGTATATTCTCATAAAGCAGAGAAAAGGCAAGGAAGGAGTAACACAATGAAGTCATTGGAAACTTGCAGAAAAATGCTCAAATTTTTCCCAGTTTTTACTCCCCTGGGAAGTTTTGGATTGTGAACTTTTGAAATCATGGTTAGTAAAATATTTAAAGGTCATTTGTTACTTTTCAAAAAGCTTTTATTTCTTCAAGGTAATTTTTAAAAACTCTGATGGGCAGGTTTCTGAAGAATTAACCTTAAGAGCAGAAAAATACAATTCATCTATAGAAGACAAATTATGTGGTACATCTGGCTCAAACACAAGAGCAAGATACAGTCACGCTTCATGTGGCCAGTCACTTTCACTCTTTTTTTTTTTAAGATTTTATTTATTTATTGATAGAGAGAAAGATCACAAGTAGGCAGAGCAGCAGGCAGAGAGAGAGCAGGAAGCAGGCTCCCCGCTGAGCAGAGAGCCTGATGTGGGGCTTGATCCCAGGACCCTGAGATCATGACCTGACCCGAAGGCAGAGGTTCAACCCACTGAGCCACCCAGGCACCCCTGCCATTTTAACTCTTATAAGAAAGAAAGATTATAAACTTTTTCACTTAGTCTTAGCTTCTCAGAGTTAAAAGAGACCAGAAGTCATTTAATTCACTCCTTCCTAGCTGCTGTGTGAACATGTCAAATAATGGAAAACTTACTATTACACAATTTTTTATTATTATGGAAAAGTGTCTATTTTTACTAACTTCACCTTAAAAAGAGTGCAGTAAGAATAGATAATAGTAATAAAAGTATAGTAGAAATAGACAACAGTGTCCATTTTTCCCTCTAGAAGTTATAAACAAAATACATATAACTCTGTTTCATCAACTAAGGATAGGGAAGAGTAAGAGCAAATCCAAAGGTTCCAAAACTGAGGAAATTAAATCCTTATCTTAATGATTAATATACATTTAATTAAACTTTATAAGAAATGGAAACTGATGGTATGATGATAAATCAGAACATAAGGACTCGTGTCAAAATTCCTTGTTCATGAATTTTAGTATTTTTCAGCTTTCTTTTTGTAAATATACATTTTCTTTTGTCTGTCTATCAAGAAAACACTTAGTTCAGACAAATATAATTTCTTTTATTTTAGCTCTGAAGACATCTTAAAGGAACTCAATTAAAAATATTTAACCCCTCAACAAAACTAAAACACAACCTACTGAATGGGAGAAAATATTTGCAATTGACATATCCAATAAAGGGTTAATATCCAAAATATAAAAAGATCTTATACAACAACTATAGTTGTATAACAAAAACAAATAACCCAATTAAAAATGGGTGGAAGACATGAACAGACATTTCTCCAAAGAAGATATACAGATGGCCAACAGACACATGAAAAGATGTTCAACATCATTATCAGGGAAATGCAAACCAAAAGCACAATGAGATACCACCTTACACCTGTCAGAATGGCTAATGTAAAAAAACAAGAAACAACAAGTGTTGTTGAGGATGTGGAGCAAAAGGAGCCCTCATACACTATTGGTAGGGATGCAAACTGGCGCAGCCACTATGGAAAAAATTTTATGGAGGTTCCTCAAAAAATTAAACATAGAACTACCATATGAGCCAGTAATTGCACTTCTGGGTACTTACGCAAAGAATTCAAAACCACTAATTTTAAGGGGTACAGGAATGTGTTTATTGCAGCATTAGTTACAATAGCCAAATTATGGAAGCAGCTCAAGCATCCATCGATAGATAAAGAAGAGATGGTATATATACACAGTGGAATATTACTTAGCCATAAAAAAGAATGAAATCTTACCATTTGCATCAACATGGATGGCTCTAGAGGGTGTAATGCTAGGAGAAATTAGCCAGTCAGAGAAAGAAAATTACCATATGATTTCACTCATATGTGGAATTTAAGAAACAAATGAACAAAGAAAAAAAGAGACAAACCAAAACCACTCTTAATTATAGAGAACAGATTGGTGGTTACTGCAAAGGTGGTGGAGTGAGGGGTGGATGCAATAGGCAAAGGGGACTGAGAGTGCACTTATTGTGATAATCACTGGGTAGTGTAAAGAATTGTCGTGTCACTATATTGTACACCTGAAACTAATAAAACTCTCTATATTAATTACACTGGAATTTCATTTTTTTTAAATTATATCTTAGCTAATGCTAATTCCATTTATAACTTTTCAGAATTCTAACAGGCATAAATAACCCCAGACTTCACTGTAGTGAAAATAAAATGATTAGTTCTTCAGTCAATTTTGTAAGATGCAGCTAAAGATAAAAATAAGTAGCTGGAAGACAAGAAAAATGTTTAATTCCTGTGAGTATCAGTTCTATTGTAAATATAAAATACCAAATGTGATAGCATAACTGGAAACCAAGTTATATATAGTAAATTTTTTCAATCGAAAATAAAGTGATTAGGACGGGTGAAATAGGTGATGGGGAATTAAGAGTACACTTACCTTGGTAAGCACTGAGTAATAGATAGAATTGTTGAATCACTGCATTATACACCTGAAACTAACATAACACCATATCCTAACTGTAATAGAATTAAAATTTAAAAAGAAAAAATGAAACAGATCCATGTGTACTGTGAAATAAGACTATCTTTAGAATATTAAAAAAATAAAGTGATTAGTTAATAAATTTTTTACAGCATTTAGTTTTATTTTTCTCAAGTTTATGTTGGGCATCACTACTTACCTACCAATCTCTCTTATCGAAGTTCTCAATTATTCTAGGGACACCAGGGTGACTCAGTCAATTAAGCAGCTGGCTCTTGATTTCCACTCAGATAGTGATCTCAGGGTGGTGGGATTGAGCCCCAGGTCTGGCTGTGCACTCACTGCGGAGTCTCCCTAAGATTCTCTCTCCCTCTCCCACTGTCCCTTCCTATCCCCCCCCCTAAAATAAATAAATAAATAAATCTTAAAAATAAATAAATTCTCAGTTATTCCAATACCCGAAGAGAGGATAGCAGCTATCTGTCACATAATCTGTCACAAATTAAATATTCCACTGAATTTCCTTTCATGATCTAAAATCCATACCTCCTCCTGTGATCCAGTTTTCTACACTATGCCTAGAAAATGAGTTGAGTTAGAGAAGGATCACTCACCTCCATTAAGCTCTTGTCATCAGGCCACCAGAGGGCAGATGCAGGTACTTGGATCAGAGCACAACATGCCCAGAGTAGCTGCAGACCAGGAGTCAGGGACCTGGTAGTTTGCTAAGAATGGGCTCAGAGCATGACAGAAGGAAGAAAATTCAGGCACTGGGGAGATACAGCAAGGCCAGAGTGAGGTCTGGCAGATTCCGTGGCAGTTTGTCAGTTGCTTTGATCACCATTAGCTCAAGAGAAAGAGAAACCCTGATTGGAATGGCCTACCCACCCACCCTTTTTTATGAGGGAGGGGGATGGCAACTCATTTCGATTCAAGACGGCAGTCTAATCTTGAGATTGACATATCACCAATTCCGAGTTGGGATTCTCTACAAAAGAAGAAATAAACATCATCTGCCTGTAAGCCTAATGCACGAGAAATAACCACCTCATCTCCGTTTGTGATCCCTTCAATGAGACACCATCTAAGTGGCTTTAATGAAAGCTATTCCACCTCTCAGAGCTCACATTCCATTCAAACAACCCCGACTCTATTTCTGAGATATAAATGCCTGGAAAATGCAAGGCCCTTAAGGAAGCAATATGAGAAACGCCTCATTTCTTTCTTGAGTCATTTTAGTTCACAGAGATTTGTACCTAGACTGTGCTTCTGAGTGACCAACAGATTTTCTTATAGTAATTCCTCTAACTCAATAGATTTTATTGAATGTCTGTCTCCTACTCAACGCCTCACTGTCCAGTCCTAATGCGCACAAATATTCCTCTGGTGTTTGGGATGTCCAGGTATGCCAGGTTCTGTAGTTTTGCATATGTTGTCCCTTCTGTTGGGGTCCTCTCTCTCCCAACCCCAATCATTATCTCTTTAGTAAACTTTTCCATAACCAGCCTCACCAAATTTTACTCCCTTCTCCTATCCATTGTAGAAAATATTTCGTACTGTATACTCTGTAGTACTCTGTACTAGAGTTTGTCACCTTCAGCCTTGCTGACACTTTGAGCTGGCTAAGTTTTTGTTGGGTGGGGGTGCTGTCCTGTGAATTTTAGGATGTTTACCCACATCTCTGGCCTGTGCTCACCAGATGCCAGGAGCACCTCCCTAGTTATCATAGTCAAACTGTTTCCAGATACTGCCAAATGTCTGCTAGGTACATGGGGGTGACTACCTCCCAGTTAAGAATTAGTGCTTTACACATTTCTATAGCACCTTAGATCTTTGTGCATACCTGTACATAATTATTTTGTTTGATTGCATGTCTGTCCCTTCACCTAAAGTATGGACAACTGCTGGGTAGTGCTGTGTCTTGCTCACCTTGACAGTACATGGCATTTGTTGGATAAAACTCCTTATCAAATAAATGGCTATTAAATTCTGATGATCAGCTAGGAACTATGTTCTTTTTTTTTTTTAAGATTTTATTTATTTATTTGACAGAGATCGCAAGGAGGCAGAGAGGCAGGCAGAGAAGAGAGAGAAGAGGAAGCAGGTTCCCTGCCAAGCAGAAAGCCCGATGCGGGACTCAATCCCAGGACCCTGGGATCATGACCTGAGCCGAAGGCAGAGGCTTTAACCCACTGAGCCACCCAGGCGCTCCAGGAACTATGTTCTTAAGTAAAAAAAAAAAAATTAACTTTGTTTCATCTTGAATATTTTTGTTGTTAGCCGAATTTTTTTTTAAAGACTTTATTTATTTAAGAGAGAGAACAACAGAGGGGGAGGGGGCAGATGGAGAGAGAGAAACAGGCTCCCTATTAAGCAAAGAGCCTGATACAGGGCTAGATTCCAGGACCCTGAGATCTTGACCTGAGCCGAAGGTAGATTCTTAACCTACTGAGCCCTCCAGGCAGGCGCCCTTTGGCTGAAATGTTTAACCTCATTCAGTAAAGATGATTGTTCTAAATCCTACAGTCTTGCACATCCTTGAGCCTGTAGCTATGGGACAAGAATACTGGTATAAAAGACAGAAGCCTAAAAAAAAGACAGAAGCCTTCTGTCCCACTGAAGAACCCAGAGCACTGAATAATGCTAGCTAAGATGTTTAACTCCTCTGGGAATCAGTTTCTCCCATAAGATGTGACTTCCTAAGACTCCCTTCCATCTTCAAAGATTGTGATGCCAAATTCTATATAGCCTGAGGTCCCAAATTTCACAACGGGGCACTTCAAGTTTTTATTTCACTATTTAAAAACAAAGTTGGATGTTGCCTGGATGGCTCAGTTGGTTTAGCATCTGTCTTTGGCTTGGGTCATGATCCCAGAGTCCTGGGATTGAGCCTTACCTTGGGTTCCCTTCTCACTAGGGAGCCTACTTCTTCCTCCCCCTCTTTACCACCCCCGTTCCCGTCCCACTCCTAGTCATGCTCTGTCTCTCTGTCTATCTCTCTCTCAAATAAATAAATAAATAGAATCTTGAAAAAAAAAGTAAAACAAAGTTGGGGGAGGACAGTGGTATCTTAAGAAGCTACATGTACCGGGTTTTACCATGTAATTTGTAGGGGAGGGAAACAAAAACAAAGTCATAAATCAAAGTTACTTTTCTTTTTCCAAGCCTCAATCTTACCATTATACAAAATATAGATGATAATGCTTACCTCATAGAATTTCAGTGAGGATTAAATGAGACGATGTATATAATGGGCTTAGCAGCTCTTGGCACATGGTGAGCACCCAGGACAGCTACTGTCATTGTGCTGACATTGGTATAGCAGATTGTTGATGAATCTTCTGCTCCCTCAAATTAACTTTCTGTCTTTAAATATAACAAGAGATACAAGTAGGTATTACTCTTTAAGGACTCCAATAGAGCCGAATATAAATTAAAAGTTCAATTTTTCATCTTCTAGAGCCCAAGGAAGTTACTGAGAAGTCAGTTATTTCCTCTTTTATGCTTCAGTGAGGACCTGGCAGATATTTCTATCATAGCTTTTATCACACCACATTATTTCTTTCATTGTATTACAAATGTTTTTCACATCTCTTCTCCACTAGCTGTGAGGTTCTTGGAGGAAAGGACTATCTTGTACATTTTTGTTCAAAGATTTTATTTATTTATTTGACAGATGGAGATCACAAGTAGGCAGGGAAGCAGGCAGAAAGAGAGGAGGAAGCAGGCTCCCTGCTGAGCAGAGAGCCCCATGTGGGGCTCGATCCCAGAACTCTGGGATCATGCCCTGAGCCGAAGGCAGAGGCTTAACCCACTGAGCCACCCAGGTGCCCCTACCTTGTACATTTTTTAACTACACAGGCCTACCACACTATGAAAATTTAATAAATACCAAGTAAATGAGCAGATGAATGGGCCATGAATTAATGAATGGCCCATGCCTAGCAAAGCACTGCACCTACTCTCTTCTGGTTGGAGAAAAGAACAACTGTTGTCTCTGTGGCTTGGCCTTGTTCAGAGGAAAGGCAGAGAAAAATTCATTCTCTAAAGGCTCTTTTCTCAGCAGGGAAGCCAAGTGGTATGGGTGACTACTGTCCCTATCCTGTCACGCCACCCTGGCAGCCCTTCTGCCCTCCCTTTAGAGAGTCAGTGATAATGGCAGAGCCATATCTGGGGCCCTATGCCTTCTATGTGCCACTCCACAGGAAAAGGGAATATGCCCTTTAGGATCTTTTTGCCTGCTGACAGCTAAGAGAGTCAGGGAAGGGCCCAGATCAAATGCTACCTTGATTAATGTCTCCCATACAGCGACAGTTACCATGTTAGAGCAGCCTGTGAATAGTCCCTGGATAGTGAAGTGGAAAAAGATTGTCTCAAAGTCAGAAACCCCCTGGCATAATACTGTGAAACTGAACTATGAAACTGGAGGTGGAAGAAGAAAACTTCATGTTTTACTTCTAAAGTACTGTGTATTAACAAATGTCTAGAACTGTTTATAAATAAGTCTGGCAGAATAGCCTGCTGCCCCTAACCATGAATACCCGGTAAGTAGGGCCCAACCTTGCCTACTAGCCTCAGCTCCCAACCCAGCCAGGGACTACTGGATGGGACACTAGGACAGCAGGACCTGCAGACAAAGATCTGTGCCTTCTGGAGAGCTTTGGTGGTTCTAAGTATCCATGAGGCTGTCAGAAAGGCCCAAGGAGGCCAGTAGGGAAGAAACACAGGGAGTTCATGTGCATTTGTGCAGGTGCCGGCTGCTGCTGCTCCCTGTTTTTGCTGCAGGGAAGCTACTCTTCTAGTGACAGACACTGAGCTAATGATGTCATTGAAACCTATTTTACTCTGTTAACACTCCCTGGGACAGTCATCACAGTACACAGATTTTAATATCAAATCAGTGGGACCTAATTAAAGTAGCTAAGGAAGGGACCTAAAAGTTTAATCCTTTGTAACAATTTTAGGTTCTTGGAGAGGAGTTTGTTTCTCCTGGCAGGTGTACTTAATATTTACAGGAGGCATGAATTCACTGCGGACCGGATGATAGAAAAGACCAGTCCTTGCTGAAACTTGGGTGGGACTTCTCTACTCTGTCTCTCTTAACCCCAAACTTGGGTGGGACTTCTCTACTCTGTCTCTCTTAACCCCTTTCTTGAATAGTTCCATTTCAGTTTGTGGTTGATGAAATGCAGATATGTCCCAGCTCGAGATTTTTTTTTTTAAGATTTTTTTTTTTTGACAGAGAGAGATCACAAGTAGGCAGAGAGGCAGACAAAGAGAGAGAGGGGAGGAAGCAGGCTCCCTGCAGAGCAGAGAGCCCAACGCGGGGCTCGATCTCAGGACCCCGGGACCATGACCCGAGCCGAAGGCAGAGGCTTCAACCCACTGAGCCACCCAGGCACCCCCCAGCTCGAGATATTTGGCTTTCATTCTCTGCTGTAACCTCAGTGAACAGCAGGAAATGATAAATATGCATTGCCAAATTATCTCACTGTGAGGCTAACTTGGTTTAAAGCTAGATCAGTCCTCAAGTGAATACATTTGAATGTCAACCTCTCCTAATCCCATATCCACTCTTGTCGCATGAGCTTCTACTTTTCCAAAAGGATAACTGAAAGCTAAATCCAGACTTGCATCGCTGTCCCCCTGGAGTCCTATCGTTGTCACCTTCAAACAAACACCATCTCCTAGGAGTTGCCGCAGCTCAAAGGCTTGCACAGCTCTGCTGGCTGTACTAAAATGAAACTGCTAGACATCTGAGGGCAGAAGAGCACATGTGCACTACCAACATCCTCAGACCAAGGTTCCTTCATCCTTTTTCTTATATACTTCAAAAAATACACTTCTATTTTGAGAGGAAAATCAGCAGGTGGAATTATTTATTTATTTACCTCCATGTATTTATTTAATATCTTATTTCTTTTTGTTTGAGAGAGAAAGTGAGAGAAAGAGCATGAGCAGAGGGGGGAGAGCAGAGAGAGAGAGAGCCTGATGCGGGCTCAATGAGGGGCTTAAAGTGATGCTCAATCCCAGAACCCTAGCGTCATGACCTGAGCCAAAGGCAGATGTTTAACGACAGAGCCACCTAGGCTCCTCCTCCTCCCCACCTCCTCCATATTTTTCCTTCAACTTTCAAACTCCATCTTTGGCCTTCACTGGGATCATGCTGAATCCTTAATAATCTTTCTCTGGAGGCTTTCTTCCAGAGCCTTTGGGGCTCCTTAGCAACTACAGAATAAACCTAAATTTCATACCACGGGACAGAGTGCTCTATTCATGATGTGGCCTTAATCTTCTTTTCATTACCTCTCACTGCTTCCCACAGCCACATACAATAGTCAGCCGAGTTATTCATGTCTGTATGCTCTGTGGCAGCTCACTTCAACTTCTGCTCTTACATCCTGTTGCGTTCCTGTTCTTGCCTAAGAGTATACCTTGATTGCCTGTGATGTGTGAAGCACCTAGTACTGTGCCTGGACCATAGCTATTATTTAATGCCAGGTGTCATTTTTTTTTTTTTATTTTTAAAATTTTGTATTGACATATAATGTATTATTTGCTTCAGGGGTACAGGTCTGTGAATCAACAGGCTTACACATTTCACAACACTCACCATAGCACATATCCTCCCCAGTGTCCATAACCCAGCCATCCTATCCCTATGCCCCCACTCCCCAGCAACCCTCAGTTTGTTTCCTGAGATTAAGAGTCTCTTATGGTTTGTTTCCCTCCTGATCTTGCTTCAGCTCTTTTTTTTACATTCAATTAATATTTATTAATAGTTATTGTGCCCCTGACTGTCCACACAAAAGACTTTTATTTTTGTTTCATTTTGTTTTAAAGTATCATTTTTTATTTTCCTTTCTTCAGTTCTTATTTAAATTCCAGTTAGTTAACATATTAGCTTCAGGTGTAGAATTTAGTGATTCATCATTTACATACTACACCCAGTGTTCGTCACTACAAGTGTCCTCCTTAACCCATAAGGCATTGAATCTATCCTCCCGCCCACCTCTCCTCCAGTAACTCTCAGTTTGTTCTCTATAGTTAAGAGTCTGTTTCCTAGTTTGCCTTGCTCTTTTTTCCCCATATGTTCAACTGTTTTGTCCCTTAAATTCCACATATCAGTGAAATCATATGGTTTTTGTCTTTCTCTCACTGATTTATTTCTTGCTTCAATTCTTAAAAGAGGTAATATTATAAGTCATGCTGCCACTAAAATATTTGATCCCTATCTACTGCTTATACTCCAAATCCCTATCAAATTTTTCTCCCTGATGAGCTGGGCTAGACAATGAAGTAATAAAAGTCAGTGTTCCCAAACATATGTATGAGTGTGCTTGTGGGGGCTGAGGGGGATTGACTAGAAGAGGGAATAAGGGAACTTTCTGGAATGATGGAATTGTTCTATATTTTGATTGGGGTGTTGGTCATTATGACTACACACACACACACACACACACACACACACACACACACACACATATATCCAAACTCATCTAATTATACACTTAAAAATCAGTTCATTTTGCTGTCTATAAAATTCATTTTGATTTTCTGAAAAAGTCAGAATCCCCTCTATTTTTTCCCCCTAAAGCAGAGTCAAAAACTCAAATGTCTACATGAGCTTTGCAGGTAAGGGAAATGTGTAGTGAGCTAGGGAGAATACAATAGAGAGAGTTGAGGGCTGCTGACAAACTAGAGAGAGTCTTTACCCTGATCACATAGGCAATATGTGCAAAAGCAGACTCTGCATTTAATAGGCACCTCAGATGTTTGAATCATTAGCCAGTTTTCTGATACACTGTGCTATGTCACAGAGCAATTAATAGTCTCCAAAGTAGGACACATAAGATGATGTACTGAAAGGTAAAAAGGTAATATTTGGAAATTGCTTTCAATTTTTTCATTTTCATGTTCTTTTTCTTCCCCTTTTTATTTTAGAATATACAAAGGAACCCACAGAAGGGAGTACACCACATTTATCTTTTCTTTAAAAGATTTTCTTTATTTAAGACAGAGAGCAAGCAGGAGCAAGAGAGAGCACGAGTGCACGTGCACCTGAGCAGGGGGGTGGTGGCAAAAGCAGGCTCCCCGCTGAGCAGAAAGCCCAGGACTCTGGGATCATGACCTGAGCCTAAGACAGCCAGTTCATCAACTGAGCCACCCAGGCACCTCCTACCACATTCATCTTGCATAGCCTGTGCCAAGTCAAGCAACAAAAGCCTGGGGTGTAGGACATTTCAGAGACTGCAGTATGTAGACAGATACGACACAGGGATGGGCACCATTCCATTGGCACCACTGAGCCTCCATGTTGGAGAGCAGCACTGCTATAGCCACAGAAAGGAAGGAACAAACTTTACTGCCCATTTCATTCTGAGGGAAAAGGAGAGAGGACTGTAGAAATTCCATCCTCTCCAGTTCTGAAGTGCAGGCTGAATTATGAGTGCTATATGAATTGCCTCTGCAAAAGAAGAAAAAGCATGTGTTTGGCTGGAGGTGGAGCATAGGTTCCGAGGAGGTCTCCTTAAGGCCTGTGAGTAACTCTGGAGCAGCTGGGATGGTGATGCAGTGATGTGTTTGTTCACAGAGAGGCATGCTGGCTTGTTGATTAGCTGACCAGGGTAGTGGAGGCAGACACATCTGTAAAGCCAGGGTGTTGGCATCTCCTCTCTGGCCTGACAGGTCAGAGAGCACAGAACAACCCTAGATTCCCACATGCCTAGGCAACTCCTCAGACTAGCTCAAAGGCCAGTAGGAGTCCAGGGGACATGGTGCCTGCCCATATACCCACCTGAACCCTGCTGATTGGAGATGATACCAGAAAGACTGACTAACTTCCTTCTACTCCAGTGGAATCAGGAAATCCAGAGAAACCCAGAGACAGCACCCTGCCTGGTCCTTTGATTAAAATAAAGTTTCCATTGTTCTAAATAAGACCTCGTATATGGTTGCTTAAACAGGAATAACGTTTATTTATCTCTCAAGTAAAAGTCCAAATTTGTATGGTGGCTCTGACTTGCAAAGTTGTCAGTCTTCCTGGTTCCTTCCATCCACTTGCTCCACTATCTCTATGATGTTGCCCTTGTTTATGTGAGTCAAAATGCCCATGTGTTGTCATTTAAAAATTGATTCCTATGAGAAAAAAAGGAAAATTTGCTTTGAGAACAACCACAAGTCTCTGGCACATTGTGACAACTAAAGTCCAGCCCTAAAGTAGGAAACTAAAGGAACCAAAAAGTAGTCTCACAGTGTGTGAGAAATGAATTTTTATATACTCCAGAGAACAATTTTTTTTTAAGATTTTATTTATTTATTTGACAGAGAGAGATCACAAGTAGGCAGAGAAGCAGGCAGAGAGAGAGAGAGAGGGAAGCAGGCTCCCCGCAGAGCAGAGAGCCTGATGCGGGACTCAATCCCAGGACCCCGAGATCATGACCTGAGCCGAAGGCAGCGGCTCAACCCACTGAGCCACCCAGGCGCCCCAGAGAACAATTTTTTAAAGCAGCCTTTTCTTTTTTTCTTTTTAAAGATTTTATTTATTTATTTGGCAGACAGAGATCACAAGTAGGCGGAGAGGCAGGCAGAGAGAGAGGGGGAAGCAGGCTCCCCACGGAGCAGAGAGCCCAATGCAGGGCTCGATCCCAGGACCCTGAGATCATACCCTGAGCCGAAGGCAGAGGCTTTAACCCACTGAGCCACCCAGGTGCCCCTAAAGCAGCCTTTTCGAGTCCATTATACTGCATGCCAGCAACCCATAGTTTCTGCATGAGGCATGTTTCCATGCTAAGGGTTCTATCTGTCCTGAATGACACAGCACAGCTCATATATAAATGCAGTGGCACTGATAGCAGTTGAGTTTTTTTTATTATATTTAAGGGCAATTTTTATTATATTTAAGGGAAGTGCAGAGGCACTGACTGCAGAAGATGTGGCCACATTCTGTAGAGTAAGTGCGTCACCTACTCAGTTCAATCTCGCAGTACCCATCCATACAAATTCAACACAGGATATAACCAGGTAGTACTTAAAGCTTCTTCCAGGGGATTATGGCAGGTACTGTTGGTCACATCACTGTTTCTCATCAACTCCTCCTTATCACTGTTCACCACAAAGCTGCCAATTTGACCTTGGAGTCACAATGGTTTCCCCCTGGCCACCTCCTTTCTTCAGCAATCACAACAGAGTTGTGGCAAGTTAGGTCAATCAATGTAGGTTCTAGGGATTCACAGGTGAGGTCAGCTATTTCATCACTTTTCCTGAGAGCTATCAGTTCTGCTTCTAAGACCATCTCAGGAATTGGGCCTCCTTCCACAGCTGTAAGGAATTCTTGGGTTTGTCTGGAATTCACCATGCTACCATAGCACATTCTTGTATTCATTATGCTTGTTGGATCCAGTCTTCAGAGAAGTAAGTGAGCTGTGCCAAAGTTTACAGTGAATGTTAAAGTCTCCAGTGTCTCAGACCTGTTGGTCAGTTACTCTCTAACTAAATTCTACATAAGAATTTAGAGCCCAGAGTTTCTGGCATATTTGAACTCTGATTCTAGTTCCTCCTGTCTCCACTTCCACAACCACTGTGTTCCCACATGTGTGGGTAGGTACAGGTTTATGACTTTTAAGAAAATGCAATCTGAATTTTTAACTGAAAAAAAAGAAAAATTAAGTTTTGGTAATATCTAAAGTAAGATTGATAAGTAAAATAATGTAAAATTGATAGATATCCAAAGGAAAAAAATGTGTACTCAAAATATTTTGATAGTTATGCACTTAAACAAAGTTTAAACTTTTGTCTTTCCACATTCCATGTCCTGATGGCAGTGGAAAGGAGAAGCCCAAAGGGCACTTACATGAAGAAAAGCACAAAGTCACTGTGCCGGGACACCTAAGTGGTGCATTCGACTAAGCATTTCAGCTCAGATCATGGTCTGGGGTCATGGCTTTGAGCCCCATGCTCGGTGTGGAATCGGCTTGGAACCTTCTCTCCCTCTCCCTTTGTTCCCCCCCCCCCATTCATTCTCTCTCTCTCTCTCTCTCTCAAATGATAGGTAAAGAAATTTTAAAAAGAAAAAATCACTTCATACCAAGAAAGGGTCACTACTTCATCCAAGATCCAGTGTGAGGATCTCAAGGAAACTTTTTTTTTTAAGAGAGTGAGAGAAGGAGGAGGAGGAGCAGAGAGAAAGATTGAGAGAGTATCTTAAGCAGACTCTACACCCAGCACAGAGCCTGACTCCTGACTGGGGACTCAATCTCAAAAACCCTGAGATCATGATCTGAGCCAAAATCAAGAGGGTCCCTTAATTGACTAAGCCACCCAGGCACCTTGAAAACACTTATTTTTTACAAAGTAAAAATGGAGAGACCAAAAATTCTTTGCACCTTTGGGTTTCTAATAACAAATAAGAAATGACCCATTTAGTCTATGCAGAGGTTCATCTTGCCCAGCATTCCTTTTCTAACAGCTATCAAGAGAAATTTTCTTGAAAAGTTTTATCCCAGATTCTGTTTTATAAAAGAAGGGATGGAGTTCAAGCATTTGCCATAAAGAGACTTGGTTTGGGTCTAGGCTCTGTGACTTTGGGCAAATGATGTAAATAGTTATAGTTCTCAAAACTTCAGCATGTAAGTCTTTTCTAAAAATTATTTTGTAATTTAAAAAATAATGCACCTTCAGTCATCATTAGGGAAATGCAAATTAAAGCCATAATGAGATACAGTTTCACACCCACTGGGATGACTATGATTTAAAAAATAGATAGGGGCGCCTGGGTGGCTCAGTGGGTTGAGCCTCTGCCTTCAGCTCAGGTCATGATCCCAGGGTCCTGGGATGGAGCCCCACATCGGGCTCTCTGCTCCTCGGGGAGCCTGCTTTCCCCTCCCCCTCTGCCTGCCTCTCTGCCTACTTGTGATCTCTCTGTGTCAAATAAATAAAATCTTTGGGGAAAAAATGATCTTTAAAAAATAGCCAATATTGGGGCGCCTGGGTGGCTCAGTGGGTTAAAGCCTCTGCCTTCCGCTCAGGTCATGATCCCAGGGTCCTGGCTCTCTGCTCAGCAGGGAGCCTGCTTCCTCCTCTCTCTCTGCCTGCCTCTCTGCATACTTGTGATCTCTGTCTGTCAAATAAATAAATAAAAATCTAAAAAAAAAATAGACAATATAAAGTGTTGGTGAGGATGCAGAAAAATTGGGATTCTGATATAGTGCTGGTAGGATTGTAAAATGGTGCAGCAGCTTTGGGAAACAGTCTGTCAGTTCCTCAAAGGGTTAAATATAGAGTTACCATATTGATGAAGTTCTAGGACCTAGGTGAGGTTCGGTGGGCTGAGGTCCAGAGCCGATGACCAAGAAAGAATTCTTGAGACATCTTTGGTGCAAAATGGTGGTTTATTAAAGCACGGGGACAGGACCCGTGGGCAGGAAGACCTGCTGCCCTGGGTTGTGAGGGATGGCAGGCTATGTACCCTGTGGTTGGGGGAAGGTGAGGGAAAGAGAGTTTTCAACGGAGCTTTCATATGCTAAAGAGGGCCTACAAGGTGCCGGGATACCGGAGGTCTCGTGGCTTGATCAATGTTGTCTTTTGGCAAGCCATTAACATCAAGATAGTTGGGAGATATCTGTCTTGCAGGATTGTGATCTCTGCAAGTTAACTATTTGTTTCTCGTTTATGGCGGTCAGGGGTGCCTGAGGAATGTTACACATATTACCGAGGGGAGCGGGTGGAGAGGGGGTGCAAGGTGCCAGCTTTTGCTTTGTCCTCAGTCAGCCTCCTGCTCCCTCATCAATATGACCCAGCAACTACACTCTTAGGTGTATACCCAAGAGAATTGAAAACATCTGTCCAATCTGAAAACTTGTACGTGAATGTTGATCACAATATTAATAGCAAAAAAGTGGAAACAACCCAAATGCCCATTAATGAATGGGTAAACAAAATGTTGTGTATCAATACAATGGAATTTTATTCAGCAGTAAAAAAGAATAAAGTACAGATACTTGCTATAATATGTATGATCTTTGAAAACATCGTATTAGGTAGTAGAACCCAATCACGAAAGATCATAAGCTGTATGATTCCATTAATATGAAATGTCAAGAACAGGCAAATCCATAGCAACAGAAAGATGAGTTGTTCCTTAGGCCTGGGGTATTGAGGAGAAATAGGAAGTGATTGCTAATGGGCATAGGGTTTCTTTTTGGAGAATGAAAATGTTCTAAAATTGAGGTGATGTTTGCACAACTCTGAATATACTAAAGCCCACTGAATTGTATTGTTTAAATAGATGAATTGTATGGTTTGTGAATTACATCTCAATAAAGCTTTTACCAAAACAAACACATAAGCTGCCATAGAAATGTTACACAAAACAATGTGACATAATCTGAATTCAGATATTGGCCCTAGAACCTGGTGGGGAAGCGTGGGGTCCTAAAGGAAAATGGAGAGGAGGGCACCCTCACGAAGGCATAATGCCTAGGGCTCCACTGGAAGCGCCAACCTATTACCAAAGCGGTTCTTTTAGACTCCCCCAGACACCTGCTTTTTGCCAGATTACCGCCCTCCAGTATTTGTCTTCTTTGACCGTCCTACTCTTCTTTCTTCGCGCTGTGCCCAGGGAAACAGAACTTTCCGGTCGAGGCTGAGCTGCCCCAAAAAGCAGCACCCACCACGGACTCCATCAGTGACTGCGCTATTTTGTCCTGATCAGCCCAGTCCTGCCCAGAGAACTATCGAGCGAGAATGCGCTGGAAGCGTGGGTTCCCGCGGCGCTCCACTTCCTGGCCTCTCAGCTGCTTCCCTGTAGGATCTGGACAGAGCCTTAGCAAGTCGAAACCAGTTGCCTGGCCACATTGGGCCCGGAAGAAGGACAGATTTGCTACAGGGCGAGGGAGAGCCTGCGGATAGAGAGAAGCGGAGGGAGGGGGCGGCAGGGGACAGGAACTCACCGTGAACTCGCTCAGGCTGGCGGCAGCGCTCAGCGAAAAATAGCCAACGTCATGAAGCGAGGGGTCTCAGTGCAAGTTATCGATGGGACGGCGGAAAGCATTGGGGGTTTCCCTCCTTTTAACCCAACTATTTTAGTTTCTCAACTGACCAATCAAAAAACCCGAGTCCGTGGTGGCTTGTCACCAGTCTCTGGGCGGAAAGCCAAGTTCTAGTTTAGAAAAGGGGAGTTTCCCATCCTTTGTTTCCTCTTTCAGCAGGCGTCTGCTTTCTGAGAAAGAGGAGGCACCGGTTTGTTTATTCTTTCCCCTGATTATTAGCTCAGCAACTCTCTAGAAAAGTGGTTCTCATTCAATAGAGGCAATATGCCTTTCTAAAAGCTTTGGAAATTAACGCCGGCTATTTTTAGTTGTTCCAACTGGCATAGGGGCTGAGGGTCAAGGGCCCCGGCTTCCCACCACCCACCCCACCCCCACCCCACACACATATTCATTCATTTTCTCTCTCTCTCTTTCGATGTATGGAAACCTGCTTATAATCTGGTCTTTACAATCACATGTAAAAATATGTTTTATTTTTCAATTATTTTATTTCTTGAATATGTATTAACTATTTTTTTAAGATTTTATTTATCTATTTGACAGACAGAGATCACAAGTAGGCAGAGAAACAGGCAGAGAGAGAAAGGGGGAAGCAGGCTCCCTGCTGAGCAGAGAGCCCGATGTGGGGCTCAATCCTAGGACCCTGGGATCAAGACCTGAGCTGAAGGCAGAGGCTTAACCCACTGAGCCACCCAGGAGCCCCTGTATTAACTATTTAGTATGCCAGGACTGTTACCAAAGTGGGCCCACTCCTCCATGACTTATGGACAGAGACTACACCAAATAGAGTTGCCTCAGGGGCAACTTTATTTGTACAGACAGGGAGATCATGGGGAATCATTTTCACAGCTGCTATCCAGAACAAAGGAAAGCAGGCTCCTTTTATTAACATTTGGGATATTCAGAAGGGGATTTCAACATTACAATGAGGTTGCGGTAACTGCCACACTTTCTGAATCATCTGGGCAGGCACCTTCCTCAAATATTTCTTTTTCTGTTCCAGCAGTTTGTTAGTTTGTTTCTAAAAGATAAGACTGATAGCTAGACAGAAGCTTCTAAAACCTAGTTCCTACAGGGTAGGCTGGCTAAGCAGAATCCTCTACTTGAGATTTTCTGAGATCAGGGGGTCAGGCAGGTAATAGGACCATATAACTGAATTTTCCAGGAACCCAACTATCAGATAACTAAAAGGAAAATGTGTTTTTGGTTTGTTTTTTGTATTTGGAATTTTTCCTAGAGATATTCACTGTTTAGGAGGAACACATCACAGACAGCAATACTATATCTGATTCTGAGCCATCAATATAGTGCCACTCTGTCTTCAGTGTCATGGCTTACAGAGATCCTAGGCCAGTTGCAAGCATCTGGTACTCCTTCCATGAGCCTCTGAAGCCAGGCCAGGGCATTCACATACTAAATTGCTTAGCCTTCACAATTGGAATTAGTAAAGGGGTACCATTAAAGAATTGTAATAAGGAAGTGTTGGAGAAAATGGGGTGGGGGGGTTGGATTTGATTGGAGTTAAAACTTCTAATCTACAGTGGAGTCCTGGGGCCTGTGTCCATCTCAGTCTGTCATGCCTGAGCTTGAGAACTGACTCCCCGCCCTAAAAATCTAGCAGAGAAGGCTCCCATATACACGTGACCTGCTTATGAAGAAAACTTCATTTTACAGGTAAGAAAACTGAGGCTGGGAAAAATTAAGAGGTTTGAAAGAGGATGAACTGTGTCAGAGGCAGGACCAGAAGCTCCTGAGAATGCAGTTTGTATATTCTCTGATCAAGATCATTCCCAGAAATCCTTCCAGAAGAGAGCAGGATTCCCTTTGGGGAACTGTCCAGAATGAGTGAGGACTTTTACCTAAAGCCCTTCATGAAAAGGAGTGGGAAGCATGGATTGTTTTTTTCACCAGTTAAGTGCTTAAAAGTTTTCCCTTTTATCCCTTTGCTGTGGTTTAGGTCATTTTTACTTGATCTAGGAAGCTATGAAAATAAATAACACTGCAAGTAAAAGCAGTTGCCCAGAGCTGTACATTTCACAGAGCTCTTCTTACCATCTCCTTCTCAGAATAACGCTTGAACAGTGTCTGGCATGGTGTAGATGCTCCATATTTATTGAATAAATGATTGATTGAGTAAGTGAATAAACTTTATGATGTAGGAATAATTATCCCATTTTATGGATATGGTCCAAAGGGTCAAGCCAGTAGTAATGATTTCTCCAGTTTCTTTTGTGGAATTAGGATTCAAACTTAGGTCTGAGTTCAGTGGCATCTATATTTTAATGCTAGCCCCTAGAAATTTGGAACTTTTAATGGAAGTTAGGGACTGCATGTGTTGTGGGCCCTGCAGAGGAAGTTAACAGGAAACTCTCAGTAGCACACTGATGCCCCACCCAGACTCTGTGAGTCCATACCCAGCTTTTTCATATTTTGCTGCTAACAACTAGCACCTGCACATTACCCCCCGCCCTGCAGGTTACCCTAAGGCACTGGAGTGAGCTGGTAGTACCTGGGAATTTCATGTTCATCCCACAACACACTCTGTAACATATAGCCAAAAACAAGCCGATATGAGGTGCCAAAGCCCAGCTCCTTTGCTCCAGGGCAGAACTAACTTTGAGGGGTATTCCTGTGTTTTAGAGCTCCCCTGGGACCAGGCTGAGTGTGTGACTTCTGAAATCACCCCTTCACTTGGCTTCTTCCCATTCCCTCTCTTTCTCCCCCCCCTCCCACCAAGCCCTTATTGATTTCTCCTTGAATGCCTGTTTTTATAAGTCATATACATCCAGATTCTGGCATTGGGGACTGCTTCTGCAGGAGCTCAACCTAACATGCTCCCTGATTCTTCAGATGATGAAAATGACATGCCTGTTTCTAGACAGTCAGGATGCCTAGAAAACCCCTTCAAATAGTACTATGGCCTTGTGTGGCAGCAAGAGTGCTCACTGTTTTTTCTAATGAAGACAGTAAAAAGAGGAAGTGGCCCATGGGGGTTGGGAAGCCTCACATACATTACCGCAGTCTTCAGTTAGGCCTGTGTGCTATAAAGACAGAAATGTCTTCTTTGTGTCAGAGACTTTTTAATCATAGTAAGTGCTTGATACATGACTAAATTTTTTTTTCTCATTTCTATTTACCAGGTTTTCTTTTCCCCCTAAGGTTTACCTTCCTTCTTTTGCTCTCCAAAGTATCAGAATTGGTTTTTTGTTTGTTTGGTTTTTTTTTAATAAGATTTTATTTATTTATTTATTTGACAGACAGAGAGATCACAAGTAGGCAGAGAGGCAGGCAGACAGAGAGAGGAGAAGCAGGCTTCCCCCTGAGCAGAGAGCCCAACTCGGGGCTCGATCCCAGAAACCTGAGATCATGACCCGAGCCCAAGGCAGAGGCTTCAACCCACTGAGCCACCCAGGCGCCCCCAGAATTGTTTTTAATGCATGAATTTTCCAATCAAACTGCTCAGATATCTAGGACCCAGTTAGTTAGTCTTTGGCTAGTCTTTGATTTTTTTCTAAAAGGCTAGAGTCCAAGGAGACAATTTCCCCGTAAAGCTGGGCTGGTGTGCCAGCTCAGAGGTGTGTATCAGCTGCTGTCAAGGTTTGTCTGCTAAACTGTGTCCTCTCTGTGTCCCAGAACAGGGATATCAGCAAGAACGGGGACCTGCTGTGGCCCTCATTCGGGAATGAGTTCAAGTATTTCAAAAGAATGACCACATAACTCCTCGGTAGAAGGTAAACAGAATTTGGTGATTATGGGTAGGAAGACATGGTTCTCTATTCCCAAGAAGAATCTACTTTTAAAAGACATTTAATTTGATTAAATTTAATTAATTTGATTAATTTAGTGCTCAGAGACCTCAAGGAACATCCATAAGAAACTCATTTTCTTGCTGAAAGTCTGGATGATGTCTTAAAATTTTTTGAGCAACCAGAATTAGCAAATAAAGTGGACATGATTAGGATAGTTGGGAGGCAGTTCTGTTTATAAGAAAGCCGTGAACAAGCCAGGCCACCTTAGACTATTTGTGACAAGGATTATGCAGAATTTGAAAGTGACACTTTTTTTTCCAGAAATTGATTCATTCATTCAATCTTTCTAATGTCCAGAAGGAAGAAGGCATTAAGTACAAATTTGAAGTATATGAGAAGAACGATGAATGTGAAGGTATTCTATGATTTATTTCAAGTTGTTTCCCCTCCCCTCCAAACAATTGTATATTTTAGTATTAGAAAAAAAGAGTTTTGTTGACTTTAGTTCAATGGATACTTATTTCTAAGCAATGAGTATTTATTACTTAATCTTAATTAGACTATAGTAAAGATCAATCTTATTTAGACCATATCAGATGCCATTTGAGAAACATTTTTGCTGTAACAGAATGATGCCCATCAAGGGCCAGCACTTGCCTAGGATAGTATATCTACCAAGAGCCAAAGTGAGAAAGTCCCCTGATAGCATGAGTTGAAACCAGAACCTATAGAGATAGGACAAGATAGATGTGTTCAAAGGTCAGAAATGGATTATAAAGAGAAGAGTTAGAACTCAAAAGAAAATTAGATCAAAGTAGGGATTATGAATTTTTTTATGCCATATCACACTTCTGAAAAAAAGTTCTCTTCGTTCAGACAGGGAATCAGTAAGTTGAGAACTCCGGTATATTCCATAGGGATAGTAAAGAGGTCAGTAGGACACTACCTTTGTGAAGGTTAAAAGAGAAGGTTGAGACCTCTAAAAACTCTTTCTGATCTTCAGTGAGATTCCATGGGATGTTGCAATGGCAGATGAATAGGCTGTTCTTTACAAAAAAGAGGAATTTAATAACAAGCATATGGCTAAAGTTAGAAGTTTAAAAGACAATGAACTGGGACACCTGGGTGGCTCAGTTGGTTGGGCTGCTGCCTTCAGCTCAGGTCATGATCCTGGCGTTCTGGGATCAGGTCCCGCATTGGGCTCCTTGCTCAGCAGCAGCCTGCTTCTCCCTCTGCCTCTGCCT